TGATGTAGATTCAGATCTGTGGTGGGAAATAGACTTTGTCATCTGCCCCCGCTCCCCACAGACACACATTTTGGTGTGACTTTGACACTGCCCTTTGGGTCACCAATATGCTTAGACCACAGTTAACCCCCTGTTGAGGACCTACCAGATGCCATGACCACGCTAAGAGGCAGGCATCATTTCCATTTGATGTATGGGGACCCTAAAGTGTAGAGAACTGACATGCCTCTCCCAAGGCCACACATCTAGAGAGTGTGCAGAGGCCAAACCAAACCCAGGTTTGTCTGACTCCAAAGCCCAGGCTCTTTGCCCACGACACCGTACGGCCTGTCTTGAAAACGGTTAGTCTCGTCTTCGTCCTTTTGATAAGAAAAAGCCAAAGCCAGCCCAAGCTAATAGGAATTTCCAAGGAAGAAAGTTCCACAATCCCACACAATGTTTAACTGCCCTCATGATCAGGAAATCGTTCACTTATGTAACGAATATCCCTCCAAACAATGTGGAAATTCATTTCCTCTTGACTGGGTTTTTCACGCAGGGCTGTCCCTTGGCAGCTTTCCTGATATCAAAACAGCCATCAAGATCCTATTCTTACACTCCAGGAGGTCTTGGACTTGTTGGCCTCTGCCTGTGAGGGTTCTCACTGGCTCCTTGGTACCGCACCCCCACCCCAGACAGTGCTGAGGTGGGCAAGTTTCTCAGGGAGTGAGAAAGTGACACTTGAGAACATGCTGGTTTATTATTACACACAGAAGAGTAAAATTAACCACATGAGGTTCCTCTGGAATTGCCGAGAAAAAGATGGCACCACCTTTCTCGTCTGCCTTTTTCTTGATTTCTATTTCACCTCCACTGAAGGCTGTTGAATCATTTAGTTGAAGCGTGCACGCGTTACTCAGAGAAGGCCCCTGCTCCGCCAAATTCCAGCGTCCGCTGCCTCTGAATTGATCGTCTATTTTTCCTTAAGCTCACTGGACTCATCTTCTCATTCGGGCTCTTTTAAAAAAAAAAAAAAAAAAAGCGCTAAACTGAGAAACTAGTGCAAATTCTGACGTCAGTGGCTAATCTATGACTGAATGGGTTTCTCCTGCTAGAAAAATATACGTGCTTCCCCCACCCCCATCAAGGCCCTCAGTGCCTTTAAATCAAGGGAGCAGAGTCTTTACAGTATCATCAGATAGCCTTTGTGAGGGATGCTGATGCACCTCTTGCCTCCCATTGGGTGATTCCAGAAAAAAGCGAACGAAGAGGCTGCTTGTGATTTGGGTGTGACTGGCCTTTCTCCTGAGCAACCCACACGGAACCTTGTCAGATGTCACAGGCTCGGGAAGTGCTGTTGGAGTAAAGGGGCTCCCACTGAAACTCGGGGGTGACTACCACTCTACTCATGCTCATTGGGCACCTTGATTCACATTGCATTATACGTATCTGTCTGAAAGCCTGTGAGCTTTCTCGGTGTTCCCTCCACAAGGCCATGTTTGCAAAGAGAAAGTTCTTCGAAGCCCTCCTCGGAGGTGACTTGTGAAGTGGCAAGGGTGCCATTCTGGAGGAATGGGACTTCAGGGATGACAGGAAAGCAGAACCTGACGGGCTGCCCTTGTGGAGTGACCTCCTGCTTTGTTAAGCCCGAAGAAGCCACTGCCACCTATGTTGTGGAGAAATGAGGCCCAGAGCCTGGAATTGCAGGCAAGAGTGAGCCAGGAGCTCCTGAGCAGCAGTTCTCAGGGAAGTGGTGGCTTGCGGGAGGCAGAGGGATGGCCCCTTACAGCTTTTGTATCACCGGGCCTGATAACAACCTGTTAATATTTTATCAGTGATCACATCACACGCAGCACGGAGGAGCCACCACTTAGGGCAAAAGAGAGAGAGAACCTGCTGGAGTTCCTGTTTGAGGTTTTCTCTCCCAGGGAGATAACAGGATTTCTCATCAAAGCCAGCAGCCGCTTGGGCAGGGAGAGCAGGCTGGGCAAAGGCCAGGCTTCAGAGTGGGCAGCCACAGACGGAGAAGAGTCTCCTGCCCGTGGAGCCAGGGCTGAGTGGGCGGGAACAGTTGACCCTGCCCAGGCCCCATCTGCCTGCCTTTAGCGCCGTGCCCTTCTCCTTCCCCGCTCCCTTCTCCCACATCTGTGTCTCTCCTCCGGTCCGGGGCCAAAAGGCCTCCGGTTCCTGGGATGGGCGCTGCCTCTGCTGCCCCCACCAATGTCCAGAGAGCTGCCCACGAGAAGCAGATGAGGGAGATGAGGCCGAGCCCCAGGGTCCCTCTTTCCCCTGGAGCCACTTAGGAGTCCTGCGAGGCAAACTCAAAGCGCTTCTGGACGAGCTGTGCCGTGGAACCGTGTTGCCTCCTCAGCGCTGCTGTCCACCCTTTTGCTCCGTTTCCCATGGTCCTTCAGCTGCAGGAGGCAGTTTCTCGGGCTCATCCTTCCCCCTCCAAAGCTCAAGTGGTGCCAGGCCCTCTCTTCATACGGATTGGGGTTTGAGGGGACTTACAAGCCTTTCTGAAGTAGCCCCTGGCACCCCTACCTTCTGGCACTTCCCTCCTCTCTCTCACAGGACACACTTCGGTGTGCACGTCTTATCTGGCCCCGGATCAGCGGTCACCTCCTGCAAGGCACAGACTTTACCTCGCCATTCGCCCTCGTTGCCCTCGAAGCCTTCTGCACGTCACCTGACACGGAGTGGGGGTGCAGGCGGTGTGGGCCGCCTGGCTGCGGGGCCCGTTGAATGAATGGCTTGTCGGAGCGGCCGGATGAAGGTCTCTCAGGAAGCCGGAGCTCGCCGTTCCCCCACGAAGCCAGTTGCAGCCTCCCCCTGCCCTATTAATGATCACATAGCAGTAGGTCAGTAGGACCCCCCGGGGGAGAAAACATGAGTCACACTATTACCGGAGGAATGAGGGAGGGCAGAGACGTCTTTCCTTGTACAAGGGTCAGAGCCATCAGTTTGGGGCATAAAAACAATGGCCTTCACCATCCCCTCGGTTGTGGCTAATCTAAATTACTTTATGATGGAAGGCAATGGCATGAGCTGAAAGCCATTCAACGTGGACTCAGACGCCTAGAGGTTTCGAGGAAATTATTTAGAGCAAGGCTTTCCTTGCTTACCCGGCCAAAAGGAGCAGTTGTTCTTTATCGGCTCGGCCCTGATTTTTCTAGTTAAGGATGAAATTCTAACTCCTCTGTCGAATCTTCCCAGATTACAAGCAAGGAGGACGTCCCAGGGCAGCCTCATCCTAAGCCGAAGGGAAGCTCTGGGCCCTATTTCCCTCGAAGGCCCTTCTATCGCAGCAGCTGCGGGAGTCTGAGGAGCAGAAGGCATCCTTCCACCTTCCCAGGCAGAATCCCAGGCCCACGTTGCTGTTGGGTGGAAGAATTTTCCAAGCTTACAGTCAGACTCCGACACTGTGACTTTCAGGAGGTCTCCATTTTGTCTCCTGTAAAAAGGCCTGCTTCTTTTCGGGTATCATTTCAGGTATTTGGACAATGCGAGGAAGTTGTGGACCCGAAAGCGCTTTGGCTGCCAGGTGGTGGGTCCTCAGAGCCCAGACCAGACAGCTGCCCCCTCAGCACAACACAGCAAAGCACCCGTTTAGCAGCCTCCCCTGCCCCCTCCCCGAGCCAAGTGCTCTAGGGCTCCTGGTGCCGGGCCAGAGACACGACCCCTTGTTCGACTTCCATTCAGACAGCCCACTCGCTCCAGGGCCTGCGTAAGCTGAATCTTCTGGGGCGGGGTGGGGGGGGAGCTGTTATTGTCAGCGACGCCACAGCTAACATCTTTACGAAATGAGCTTTGTTCATTCCCCCCCGGAGGTTCGAACACGGCCAAATCATTGGCCTCCCAAACTCTCACACCTCCCGAGTTTGGGAAATTAGAACGGAGGTGTCGTGTCTCATTCAAATGTGAATTGGTCCTGCTCCCCCAGATCGCCTCCACGGGAGATCTCCAGGAGTACTGCGTGTGTCCCCAGTGTGTCTTTGCTGGCCATGAGTTGCTTTCCTCCGGCAGCTTGGGGGGACCCCTGGCAGGCTCTCCCAATGAGTGGATCAGCAGAGTCCTATTTGGGGAGTCTAGAGTCTGGAGCACCAACACCAGCAATGTGGCCCTGGGAAAAACAATCTCTTTATTCACGTTTCCCCATCTGCTGCATGGAGATTGTCAGATCGACTTCCCCTTACCTCACAGTGCTGGTTCAGAGAACGAAAGGAATAAACACACAGCCATTTAGTAAATAACTTCGATGAAAGAACTGTGGAGAGGGAGGAGCCCTGGGCGAGATGAAAAGGTAAAGGTTCCCTGGGAAGGTGGAGGGGGTGGTGTCTTGTTTTCATAATGTCTCCAATAAAATCTAGAATTTTTTTATCCACCCAATAGGAAGAAGAGCCAGTTTCCATGCTACCCTCCCCCGACCTAGTTCTCTCTCACACCTGCCCTGCCTGGGCCCCCTTTGAATGAATAAAACAGTAACCAAATTACTCAATCAACAAGTGTTTATTGATCACCTACTATGTGCCCAGCACTCTTACAGATAGTCTGGGGAATAGAGAGAGGTCTCGGGTATGGCCCCCACCCTCCCAAAGTTTACAATGTACTTGTGAAATCAGATTCGCGCACACAAAAACATAACTATCCATCAAAAATTGTGAATAATAAGCATCAAAGAAGCAATAGTTATACACTGAGGGGTGGAGGAGGGAGGGTAGGAGAGGGACGGAGTGGTCAGAGGAGACTCAGTGTAGGAGGTGGTGCTGAGCAAGTTCTCCAGGCAGCAGGAGGACTCGGCTAAGGCGACAGGGCCTTCCAGCTTGGGAGAAGAGCTTAATCATAAGCAAGAAGGTGGAGAGGCGAGAGGCATGTTAGAGACAACGAGTGAGCCCCTTCTGCTGGTACTGAGGTTTGGGGAGGTGGACTGGAGTTTGTCAGAAGCCGGGCATGCTTGGGGGGTGGGAGGATGAGGGAAAATGCCTTTGGTCTATCTGTGACTCCCACCCCCACCCCCACCCCGGGGAAATGGAGCATTTCCACACCTTGGAGCTGGAACTCTCTGCCTGGGAGACATTCTCCACCGTCCCCCCACCCCCCACCCCGCAACTGAACTTCCAGGCAGCGGCTCAGCTGTCGCTCAGATCGGGGCCACAGCTCCTTGGGCATTATTGTTCCATGCCAAAGCCCTCAGATGCCTTCTAGCAACTCTGAGGTGTCTGGCGAAGGATGGCAGGGCACATCTGAAGGGTGACAGGGGGCCCACCGGGGGCTGCTGTCGTCTCTCAGAGGTTCTGTAGTGCTCTGTGGGGAGACCCCGGGGGACTGATTGCAGGCTTCGGGCTGCTTTTCTATTAGGTCTGAAGACCGTCTGGGGAAGCCGCCTCTCTCTGCCCGATAGAAACACCCACTGGAGCCACCTCACATGCCCACCCAGCTTCTTAGAGACCCTAGTTCTTATTCTTTCTCGGGCAACACCAAGGAGTGGTCTCCGCTAAGGAGCCCCAAGGCTCCCATGCAGTCATCCCCCAGCCAAGAGCCATCTCTAGAAAAGCCAGGTTCCCCTCCCTAAGGAAACCACCTTGTAGGACCAGCAGTCTTGTTTCTTAGCAGGGGGTCAGGTCAGAGGGAGGCAGGGGCTTCAGTGAAAGTTGGGGCTGCAGCTCCTGAGGCAGTTCCTCAGCGGAATCAGCATCCACTGCTGCCTTGAGCTACCCACCCTATCTTCTTTCTTTGTGCTTTCCCCTAGCAGGAGCGGGGGTGGCTAGATCCCCAAGCCGCAGTGGGAGGGAATTCCAGGAAATGCCCCGGGCCCGTGAGTCAGGTCTTTTTTTGGTCCTTGGCCGCCTTCCCTCGCTCTCATCCTGCACCCAGTTGTTCTCTGTTCCCTCGGTACCGCGGGGTGGTTTTATTTCAGTCCACGCACAAACCAGTCCGAACACTGTGGAGTCATAACAACAACGGGATGGAGGCTCTGGGCTCCATTACTGGCCGAGCAGTTTCTTTGGAGAGAAGCTTGGGAGGTTGGTGAGAGCCGTGCCCATAACAGCCACCACTCCTCCTTCCCCCCACCCCACCCCAGCAATGAGCTAAGAGCCAGCGTGAGCCAGAGGGAGGGTCTTTGATCACAGAGAGGGTTAGTCAGTGGGAGGTAATTAATGCGTGGGTTTGGGGACGGACTGCGGGTCAAGCGAAAGGCCGAAAGGCCGAGAGGAGCCTCTGTGGCATGGCCTAGGCTAAGGGGTGGAGTTTGGAGTTAGGGCTGGGGACTCGGGCTGGGGGGAGGTGGCAGGGCCGTGGGCAAGGTGAAGGAAACAGAAAGGTTGGCTCGGCAAGCATCCTGACGATCCAGCCTGCGTGCCGTCACACCCGTTCCGGTTTCGGCCTTCCCTTGATCCAGCGGCCAAAGTCAGTCTTTCCTCAGCAGCACCATGTCCCTCACCTGTGGCCCCGGGGGATGGGGGTGCGGGCGCTGTCCACTGGTTTTCACAGACCCAGCCCCCGCCCCCCACCCAGGCTCTGGCCCCTGGTTCTTCACACATACCCTGTCAGGCTGTAGGAGTTAAACTCGCTCTTGACTTTGGGCGGCTGACCAGACCTTGGGGAGCCCCTAGTTGCGAGGGGCTGGGTCTGGTAGGAGTCGTAGTAGTTGGAGCGATTTCCCTGGAATGGGCAGGAAAAGCAGAGGATGATTCCAGCCACCAGGGAGAACAGGGAGGAAATAATGCCCAGGTAAAGAGCCTCTCCGATCTCAAATTTCATGCTGTCAGGTACCAGCGGGGAGTAGAAGTCCCGCAGGGTCCCATGAAGATTCCAGGCAACCGGGATGAAGCCCAGGAGGCCTCCGAGGATGAAGAAGACTCCGCCCACCACCGCCAATCTGTCCTTGGCGCGGGAGTCCTGGCAGAAGACTGTGCACCTCAGGCCCACCACAGAGACAATGCAGGCCAGCGAAGAGACCGCACTGGATGTCACCATCATGGCCTGGGCGGCCTGGATGTCGGCAGGCAGGCCTAGGAGTGTGCTGTAGATGTCGCACTGGGTGATGCCCGTGCTGTGTGTCGCGCACTCCATCCAGAGGCCCTTGGAGAAGCCAACCGCCGTCACGATGCTGGTACCGACGTAGGAGCTCGTTCTCCAGCTGGGAAGCAGCATGGCCACCAGGGTGCCCATCAGGCCCAGGAGGCCCAGGATGTAGCCCGCGAGTTGGAGGCCAAGAGAGGCCATGGCAGACCTCTCAGCAGTAGCGTGGTTGGGGCCTGCTCCCTTGCCTTCGGGCTGTGGTTCTTGCTCCTTGGATCCTGGCCTCTAATCCCTCATTTCAGAGTGTCTCCAAGCGGGCCGATTTCTCTCCTCCTTACAAGTGTCTGTGGGTGGCCACAAGCAGGCTCAAGGAGGCATCTGGAAGGCCTAAAAAAAATCCATAAACCAGATTAAATATTGACCAGAAGCTTATGAGAAACCAGAAAATGCTGGATGCCTTTTGACCTTTGTTATCTTTAGAAATAACACATGAGAAAGAAAAAAAAAAAAGAACTTTGAAAGCGGAGCCAAAATGTCATCGCCTCCTGCGTAGGCACATGCCTTGGGTTGGGTTGGCAGCCAGACAGCCAGGGGCCAGACGGGTGGCCCCTTTCCGAGAAGGTGGCGGTTGCGGCGGCTGCATTAGCTCCCGGGCAGGCTCTCGGCTGGCACAGTTCTGTCTCCCCAGCCTGATGTTTAATGCATTGCCCAGCAACACTGCCACAGGGCCCCTCAACTGCAGACTGAGGCCAAACTCCAGGAGCCTGGAACAGGAGGAACAGGTCCCAGGGTATAGCTGTGGACTCCGGCTTATTAGAGGCCTCTCAAATCTCCAGGGGCCCAGAGAGCTGGGGTCTGGCCCTCGGGTCATCGTCCCCGCAGGGGCACATCGACACCAGGGCGGGTTGGGATTGGCCAAAAAGACTTCTGTCCACACTCTGAGAGTTCAGGTCCACCCAGCCCTGCGCAGACTCCCTCCACAGGCCAGCCTAAGGACATTTTCCTGTCTGCTCTCTTCATAGATTCCCCTACCAGCCCTAGCCTCGGAGATAATGTGGAAGGATTTTGGAGCAAAAGTTGTGCCAAGGCCTGGGGGTGGGGGGAGTCCTGAAATTCCCTAGGCTATCTCCCAGCAGATAGCCTAGGATGGACAGAGGAAAGGGAAGCTGTTCTACCGCAGAGGGCTTTGTAAGAAGACGGCGTCTGAGCTGATCCTTGCGAATCTCAGAGCTGTCTAGGATTGTGCGGTGTTCAAGGAGTACTCCCTGCACGCACTTGCCAAGGTTGATCATCTCTTCGATGTGAGTATGCCTCAGAAGTCCATTCTTTTCTCAGTCAACCCTCTGTCCCTGAGCAAATAGGTACCATGACTTAAGTGGACTTAACCCACCCCCATGACTTAGTCTCCAACCCATCCATTGACACTTCCAGATCTGAATTTCCATCATAGACCTTCCTCCTGAGCTTCAAGACTACCCGAGCAATCACCTATTTAAAATGTCCACCTTGGGGGGGCGCCTGGGTGGCTCAGTCGTTAAGCGTCTGCCTTCGGCTCAGGTCATGATCTCAGGGTCCTGGGATTGAGCCCCGCATCGGGCTCCCTGCTCAGCGGGAAGCCTGCTTCTCCCTCTCCCACTCCCCCTGCTTGTGTTCCCTCTCTCGCTCTCTCTCTCTCTGTCAAATAAATAAAATCTTTAAAAAAAATAAAAATAAAAAAAAATAAAATGTCCACCTTGGGGCGCCTGGGTGGCTCAGTCGGTTAAGCATCCAACTCTTGGTTTCAGCTCAAGTCATGATCTCAGGGTTGTGAGACCGAGCCCCACGTTGGGCTCTGCACTCAGTGGGAAGTCTGCTTGAGATTCTCTCTCCCTCCACCCCTCCCCCCCCAACTCTTTCTCAAACAAATAAATCTTTAAAAATAAATAAATAAAATGTCCACAGGAAATGCCATAGGCACCTCACATTTGACATGTTCAAAAGGGAACTTATCACTTCTCCTATCGCACCCTTCCCCAAACAGTTCTTCCCTGGGTCCCCTGGGATCACCGAACCATACCTCTATCTATCCCACCAGACCAAAATCCTGGGAGTGATTCTTGACACCTCTTTCATGCTGGTTCCTCACCTTCCATGGTCAATGTCTCACCAAGTCTACCTCTTGCATGTACCTCAAATCCATGGCACCCTCTCCCCATCCCTACTTCTTCTTGCCCGGGTCAGTGCATCACCACCCTCTCTCCCCCAGACGGTAGCAATGACTTCCTAACTAGTCTTATTTCCAGTCTTGTCTCCTACGATTCGTTCTCCATGTCATTGCCAAGGTGATCTTTCAACCCATTAACCTGATCAAGTGTCTACATAAAACATTCCTGTGACTCCCCATTGGCTAAAGAATAAAGTCCAAACTTGTCTGTGCTCTATGACCTCTCAAGCTTCATCTCTTGCCATCGTCCTCCTCATATTCTTGCTGAGCTAAATTCCTCTCAGTTCCTCAATCATGTCATGTTGTCTTTGGTTCCAAACCTGAGGGCAGGCTGTTCCTTCTATGCAGGCTGCCTGGCATTCTTCTCTCTCTGTTTATTGCTTTCTCTCCGTTTAGGGTTCAACTCCTATGTCTCTTTCTCTAGCTTGGATCAAGTGCCCCTCCTCCATGTTCTTGCAGCATTTTCTGTGTTTCCTTACCTCCATCACGGTAGTAATAATAACAACAGTAATAATAACAGTAATAGTAACAACAGTAATAGTAATAATAACAACAGTAATAGTAATAATAATAATAATAATAATAGCAACACTTTCATAGTGTTTCCGATGTGACCGATGTATAGATTATAAGCCCCCTATACATGATAACTCCCTTAATCGTCACAACGTTTTGTGGTAGGTGTTAATCATCCCTATGGTATAGATGAGGAAACTGAGCTACAAATAGTAGTTATTGCCCTGCATTGCAAATTCCTGTTTAAACCCTTATTCTCCCCCAACTAGTCTGTGAGCTACATAAGGGCAAGGACTATATCGTATTCATCTCTGGGTCGCAAGTGCCTTGCGGAGTATGACACACAGAGCAGGTGTTCAAAAACATCTTCTTGGGGCGCCTGGGTGGGTCAGTCAGTTGAGCATCTGCTTTTGGCTTGGGTCATGATCCCGGGGTCCTGGGATTGAGCCCCGCATCGGGCTCCCTGCTCCTTGCTCAACTGGGATCTACTTCTCCCTCTGCCTCTGTGTGCTCGCTTACTCTCTCTCTCTCTCACTCTCTCTCAAATAAATAAATAAATAAATAATCTTTAAAAAATATCTTCTTAATGAGTGAATAAAAGTGGTAAAGAGGTTTGAGGGACTATAAGATGTGGGTGTTCTGAAGGAGCCAATGACACTTCAGTGTAAGGGGCGAGAGCTGCCCACTGTTGGGAGAGAAGGTTGAAAGAGGGAATCGGAGGATGGAGGGAAATGAAGAGAGACAGACAGAGAGAAGAGAGATAGAAAGGGAGAGAGAGAGCGAGAGAGAGAGAACAAAGACAGAGAGACAAACACAGAGAAAGAGAGCCAGAGAGAAAGAGAGAGCGAAACAGAATTTTGTATTTTCTGTGTATATGCATTTGCTGAATAGCTTATGTCTTCCAATTCTAAAGCACTTGAGGGAGGAAATATATTAAACTTATTAATTATTCAATATTGTAAACCTCAATTACACTTCTGTTGTGCCTCGGCAGCATCAGGTACAGAGTTGCCAGTCAACACTATTTCTCAGTGATAAGCACGACAAGGCCAATGTGGATGCCAAGCAGCGTGGAGCAGGGCCCAATACACATCTGATGGGGGCGGGGGGGAAGAAATCTAGTTCGAATCTCAGCTCTGGAGCTCAACAGCTGTGACGCTGCGCCGGTCCTTTCCACACGTTGGTTTCCTTACCGTGAAGCTGGCACGATTCTACCCTATCCTGGTCGTGACCGTGAACCTCAATGGCACCTTCAGTGCCGCTCGGAAGTCCTGCTTCTCCCTGGCGAGCATCTCCTGGGGACTGTTTCAAACACCACTTTTTTTTTTTTTTGAGGCCCCTTCCCGACCTCCTCCCTGTGCAGCTACTACCCTATCCTCATCATTTTCTTACAGTCAAGGTTCCTAAATGAGCTGTTTCGTGTTGGTGTCTCTACTTCTTTCCCATCCCACCCACTGCTCAATCCTCTGCAGTCTGGCTTCTGCCATTAGCCCTTCCCTGAAACTAAGGTTGCCCCTGGTTTTCTTGTCCCCGAATCCAATGGTCATATCTCTGTCATCTCACTTTGTCCCTCTCCTTCATAGAACTGTCTTCTCCCTTATTTTCTGTGATACTATTCTCGGTTTTCCCTGCCCTCAAAATGATTCTTCTAAGTCTTTTTTTTTTAAAGATTTCATTTATTTATTTGAGAGAGAGGGAGGGAGAGAGAATGAGAGAACACAAGCAGGGAGAGCAGCAGAGGGAGAGGGAGAAGCAGGCTCCCTGCTGAGCAAGGAGCCTGATGTGGGGCTTGACCCCAGGATCATGACCTGAGTTAAAGGCAGACACTTAACTGAGCCACCCACATGCCCCCTTCTAAGTCTTCTTTGTAAGTTTTTCTTCTTGTGCCCTCTGTATAAATCTGACTATTCCCTGCAGGGTTTCTTCTGGACTTTTTGACTTCTCTTCTCATTCTTCACATTCTCTAAGTGTGGTCTCATCAATCTGTCTCATGAACTCAAGACTTGTATAATCAACTGCATTTGGAATGACCCCATCTGAATGTTTTCATGGCATCTCAACATTTGCAAAGCTGAAATCATCTGCTCTCTTCACTACCTTCAAGCAAGCTATTCCTCATCAGTGTTCCTTATCTCACTAGGACCATCCCTCCCAGCAGCTCAAGCCAGGCGGCCTCTCTTCTTCTTGACATGTAATCAATTATAAAGTCCTATCAGATTTACCTTCAAAATATGTTCTGAGTGCATCAACTTCTCTCCATCTCCACTACCTAAACTTCATTTTGAAATTGGAAATTTCATGGGCACCCCAAATTGGTCTCTCTAATTCCACTTCTGCGATCAATTATCCACCCAGTAGCCAACGATCTTTCTAAAATGGAAATCTAATCCTAAGCGCCACCCTTGCCCCCTCGCCATGCTTTAAAAACTTCAGGGCCCGGGGCGCCTGGGTGGCTCAGTCGTTAAGCGTCTGCCTTCGGCTAGGGTCATGATCCCAGGGTCCTGGGATTGAGCCCCGCATCGGGCTCCCTGCTCCGCGGGAAGCCTGCTCCTCCCTCTCCCATTCCCCCTGCTTGTGTTCCCTCTCTCGCTGTGTCTCTCTCTGTCAAACAAATAAATAAAATC